CTTTCCGATTGACAAATGAAGGATCTTTATGATGTAGGGCTTGATTTAAACATTCCAGTTGCTGACTATTCGTTTAACTATTATACGTGATGCGCGTTTTTTGGGGGGTGGTTAATGAAAGTGTTCCAAAACGCGACATTAATTTCTTGACGACCTAATATGATTCTTTTATTCTTGTAAAGTACACTAGTTGCGATTAAGTGTAATTATGAAAATGTTTTTGAGCAATTCATAGAAAAATAAAAATTGATTACTTATAACTTAGTTGCATTTATGATGATTATCTCATTCCTTATTCTTAACTTTTGAATTTGATTGGGTTAAATGGTGTCATAAACGGACATATAACAACAATCCAATTAGCTGATTATTCCCTTATAATGTTTCCGAGATAGCCCCTAGTACAAACATCATAGTTAAATAAATATAATAATAAGAAAAAGACATTGCTGACTTCTACATTGTTAACTTTATGATATAACCTATTCAAGATTGTTGGTTGTCTATATATATACAAAGTAATGAAGTGACATAGCTGTCTTGTAGATCTCACTAGAATATTTTTTGATTAAATTACGAGCTTTTCTGTTTTTGCTCAACAGGACGTTTGAAAAACAGTACTAATGCAGTAATAAAAACAATTTGGGAAAAATATTAATTTTAATTTTACCTCTTTTAACAAAGTATCTAAAGGGCGTTACTGTTAATTTTTCTAATTGAACCGTGAACTTAATGTCTGATTTACACAAAATACAGTTAGATTTATAAATTACTAATGTTCTCTCTCTCCAAGTCATAATGAAAATTGCGAATCTAAAAAAAAATAAATTGTAAATAGTTATTTTTTGAAGGGACTTGAAATTTAAGGTAGAGCAGAATAAATTTTAAAACATTATTAAGACAGGAACTTTTATACCAATACAAGCCTCAGTCTTCTCCCGACAAAACTCTCTCTTATGTATAAAAAATATTTTTGAATCCATAATATAATAGGTTAAATTTAAAAGTATTTATCAAATAAATACTTAATAGTTGGTAAATGTATAAAGGGGCAACAAAAGAA